TCTCAGTTTCTAAGCTCAATGCTCGGGGAATTTGCGAAGTTTTGATGCGGGTTCTTGGTTTCTCTCTCGAAGAATTCTGGGTTCGTGTTGGTGAATAAGTGAGGAGAATGACGCGCCTCTGTTTATATCTCCAGGTACGGGATACGAAGAGTCTGTGCTTTAATTTCTCTTAAATACCCACTAAGTAGCCATTAAACACATGTCTTGTGATTAAACTGCCCATTATCCGTCCAACTTCCGCAAATCATTAACCGTTGTTATCTCATTAATTACGGTTTAAATTCAAATTTTTGGATCAATTAAATCATTTACTTCCCTCCTTTTCTGAGTTAAATCAAACCCGACCCGTCATCCTTCCAAATCGGGTCTGGGGGGCAAGTTGTTTGGGTCCAATTTAGTCAAAATTGGGCCTGAGCACTAAATGATCCAATTAAAAGCCCAAGGTCAAGGTTCAACTCTCCAATTGCTCAAAAGTCAAAGGTCAGCCCACAAAGTAAGCCAATTGGGCTAAAGCCCAACTTCTCCATGTATGATGAGGTATAAAAGCCATCATATTAACACATTCAAAGGACAATTTAGACAACGACGGATATTCCAATTCATATGCTCATTCTTGCATTCAGAAATATTACACAAAAGCCTCAAGCTACAAACTCTCTTGCATAGTGTCTTCCTTTTACACATTGTACTGACTTTAGCATCGGAGGGGCCTTCCTCGGAAACACCCCCGAGGCTAGTTTACGTGTGTTCACTGTGCAGGAAACCTTCGGCCCAACACAACTTGGACCGAATCCAGTCTTCTCCATTTCAGCGGACCTTCGGCAAGGTCCCATTGTTTTCAACCGAAACAATTAGAATTGGTTAATTTGTAAATTAAAGTTAGTAATCAACACTTTATATTTACTAATAAAACTCAATTGAAACTATTATTCACTAATTGATTAAAGCATAAAGTTATTTACAAAAGGTTCATTTTACATTTCTAAACTTTTAGGGGATACACCAAGATGTATCCCCTAAAATCTCAATCCTTTTCGTCGCCGGGCCTCGAAATCTTCAAAATTTATCAAAAATCAAGGATATTAGCCTTCAATTTTAGAAATTTTTTACCTTTTTCGCCAGGAAATAAAAATTAACGAAATATTTACTGTGGTCTCTAATACCCTCCGAGAGTCCAATTGGTTGGGTAGAACCATCCAATTCTCCTTTAGACGACCAATTTACCGATTTACAACTTGCACCGATTTAATTAACTCAAGCCTACTACAAACATTTATGACAACATATAATGATCATATATGGTTTCAAACGGCATTATCTGACCCCGAGATGTATTATCTAAAATTTCAAGACTTTTCGACACCGGGCCCCGAAACTTCCAAAATTTCTCAAAAAGAGTGTATATAATCCTTCAATTTTTTAATTTTTTGACTTTTTTTCGACTAGGTATAAAAACTGCCGAAATGTTTACCATAGTCTCTAATATCCTTCGGGAGCCCAATTGGGTTGGTGAAAGCATCCAATTTGCCTTTAAACAACCAAATTACCGGTTTACAACTTGTACCGATTTCATTAACTCAAGCCTACCACGAACACTTATGACAACAAATAATGATCATATATGGTTCGAAATGACATTATATGACCCTGAGATGTATTCCCTAAAATTTCAAAACTTTTCAACACTGGGCCCCGAAACCTCTAAAATTTCTCAAAAAGAGTGGATATTAGACTTTAATTTTGGTATTTTTGAACTTTTTTTCGCCCGAAAATAAAAATTGCCGAAATGTTTACTATGGTCCGTAATACCCTCCGGAGTCTAATTAGGTAGGTGGAACCATCCAATTTGCCTTTAAACGGCCAATTTAACGATTTACAACTTGCACTGATTTCATTAAATCAAGCCTACCACGAACATTTATGACAACATATAATGATCATATATGGTTCCAAACGGCATTCTATGACCCTGAGATTTATCCCCAAGAATTTCAAGACTTTTCGACACCGAACCCCGAAACCTCCAAAATTTCGCAAAATGCGTGGATATTAGACTTCTATTTTTGAATTTTCTGACTTTTTTTTCGCCCAGAAATAAAAATTGTCATACTGTTTACAATGGTCCCTAATACCCTCCGGGAGTTCACTTGGCTAGGTGAAACCATCCAATTTGCCTTTAAACAACCGAGTTAATGGTTTACAATTTGCACCGATTTCATTAACTCAAGCCTACAACGAACATTTATGATAACAAATAATGACCATATATGGTTTCAAACAACATTATATGACCCCAAAATTTATTCCCTTAAATTTAAAAAATTTTCGATACCGGGCCCCGAAACCTCCAAAATTTCTCAAAAAAAGTGGATATTAGACTTCAATTTTGGAATTTATTAACTTTTTGTTGCTCGGAAATAAAAATTGTAGAAATGTTTGCCATGGTCCCAAATACCCTATGGGAGTCCAATTGGGTGGGTGGAACCATCCAATTCGTCTTTAAACAGCCAATTTACTGGTTTACAACTTGCTTTGATTTCATTAAATCAAGCATACCACGAACATTTATGACAACATATAATGATCATATATGGTTCCGAACGGCATTATATGACCCCCGAGATGTATCTCCTAAAATTTCAATGCTTTTAGACATCGGGTTCTGAAACCTCCAAAATTTCTCAAAAAGCGTGGATATTAGCCTTTAATTTTGGAATTTTTTTTACTTTTATTTCGCCCATAAATTAAAATTGCCTAAATGTTTACCATTGTCTTTAATATTCTCCGGGAGTCCAATTGGGTGGTTAGAACCCGTCAAAACCCGAATTTAACCCGACTTGTTACTAACCTGACCTGAATTCAACCCGGCCTGTTCCTAACCTGACCCAAATTTCCCCCAACCTGTTACAAACCCGGACTGAAATCAACCCGACTTGTTATTGACCTGACTCAAATTAAACCCGACTTATTATTGACTTGACCTGAATTTTACCAGACCTATTACTACCCGACCCAAAAATTCAACCAAATCTGTTACTAACTCAACTCGAAATTAACACGACTTGTTATTGACCCGGCCTAAATTCAACCCAAATTATTCTTGACCCGTTTTCGAATCATCTTAAATGCAATTTAGAGCACCTTATTATTGTTGATCAAAGCATTTTGTCTAGGGAGACCAAGTCGGTCTAGGCCAGCAAAAGAAAGGAGCACCATCATCAAATTTAAGAGTTAAATATAGTATATATTTGTTGTATAGTCAAAGGAGATAATTATCTTCCTAATTTATAGACTATAGGTCCCTAACATATTTCCATATATATTATAGACTTTATAGTCAAAGGAATATCTTGATAAAAATGATAATTATCTATTTATAGTTACTTGAACCTGAATATGACCTGACATGGAAATGACTCGACCTGATTGTAACCTGCAAATGATTGACTTGAACATAACCCGACTTGAATCCGAGAATGACCTGACTTGGAAATAACCTAACCTGATTATAACCCGTAAATTATTGACTTGAACGGGACCCGACTTGAACCCGAGAATGACCCAATTTGAAAATGATCCGACCTGATTATAACCCGTAAATTATTGACTTGAACCGAATACGACTCAAACCTGAGAATGATCCGACCTGATTCTAACCTGCAAATTATTAACTTGAACCGAACCCGACTCGAACCTGAGAATTGCCCTAACCAGTTTTAACCCGTGAATACCCGAATTAAACCCGACCTATTGTTCACCCGATCCGAATGTAATCTGACCTAAACTTGACCCAAACCCGATAAGAAATATGACCCGACTCAAGCATGACCCAACCCAAACCTAACCCGCATAGGTTATGGAATTAATTCGAATTGAACCGACCCGAGTTAACCAAACCCACTCTTACTCGACCAAAACCTGACTCGTTTACCCGAATTTACAGCTCTACATAACAATATATTAACTTTTACCATACCACAACAAAATTAAATACAGTAATACTATTGGAAAGTAAATATATATTGTGTAAAATGTGAAAGAACCAAAAATAATGAAAATAATGAACAAAAACAGGAACCATGCATGGTACATTTGGCCAAGTTTGACCTAAACCTTAGATATAAATTTTATGTATTTCATTGGTGCAATTATAGGAATAAATTAATCCCATTATTTGGAGAGATTATACATTATTGCTTAGATTTATAAGGTAAGTGGGTTGTCACTTATCATGCTATTTACAACTTTTGTGGTGTGACAATAATTCCTATGTATAAAATTATAAGAAAATCAAAATCTCTTTATTGAGTATACAATTTCCAATCTTTAAGATTTTCCATTAATTATATAAAGTAATTTCTAAAACAGAACAATTTTGATGCCTTAATCAAGTTCTAATTAAAATTTTGAAGCTCTTGTGAAAAATAAGCAAATGTTCCAACAAAAAACACATAAAAATAATAAATTATTGGATTATTGCATGCAAAATTGCAAACTCCTAACACCATGTGACACATATCAAAATGGAATATCAACCAAAACTCATAAAATCAAACAATATCACATAATTTATTTATAAAATACAAACTTTTTAGCCACATATTGAAAGATGATTATGTTTACGTACTAAACCCCAATTATAGATGAACAACAAAATATGTTTAGTGTTAAAGTAGTATTAGTCTTCAAATTCAAGGAAAAGTTGATTGGCCTATTCTTTTTGCCAAAGGCAAAGGAGACCAACCCATTGAACCCACATACCAAAAAAATACAAACAAAATATTATTTTCCTATTACAAATGATATTGATATATATTTATAAATAATTAAACAAATAAAATAATTGAATTTTGGATGGTGAGTAATAAAGCTTGGCCAACTCTTTATATTTGTCTTTGTTTGGCGGACCACACCTCATACCTCATAACTAAACGTTACACCCCGTTAATTGGCTTTTGAGGGATCTTTTAATTTGGTCCATTCATAGGATATTCCTCCTTGGTTGGTTATTATTTCCAACCATACTTAAGACTCGGGATTTAATTTCGTCTACATCATTGTATTTATTTGGCCGAAATATAACTAATTAAAGAAATAGGATATTCCCTTTCAATTCATATATCCCTCACCCTCATAAATAGCATACCTCGTTGCATTACTTTTCTTGAAAAAATTCTTGAATACCTCTCTTTTTCATTACTCTTTTTTTTTTCTCTCCTCGGATTTTTATATTCTCTCTCTACCACAAAGGTTTCACTTCAAGGTTCAAAGAGATTCATATTCTTCTTGCTGAGGTAACTTCATGTTTTCTTTTCTTATGATTTGATTGGTTTTATTTTCTGGATGTGTTAATTTTATCACAGTATGCACATTTTTTATATGTTTTCTGCTGTTTAATTTCTTGAGAAAATCGAAGTTTATCAATATGATAAACAAAATTTGTTTATCAAATGGCAAAATTGTAAATAAATCAAAAACTTTATAGTAAATTTGGGTCCCACTATTGTTGATATATTTACGAAAATGTCATGATGACTGGACATTTACGTTGTTTTATTTACCATTTTGCCATTTGATAAACAAATTTTGTTTATCAAATTGATTAATGGGCTTCCTCTAATTTCTTATATGCTACAAAGATTTACTTTTTATGTGTTCTACTGAAAAAAATTGAATCTTTTTTTATTTTATACTGTGTGTATATATATAAAGAGTTTATTAGGGCTTGTTTTAGGTAGTTTTTAATTATAAAATTTCCAAAAAAATGTTTTTACAAATTTAATTAAAATCAATAATTTTTTGTAACCAGAAAAAAGTTTTTTTTTTCAGATTTACAAATTAACAAATTACAATAGGTATGTATGATTAACTTTAGAATCATTGTTATTTCATACTCTTATGAACATCATTAATAATTGAAATTGAAAATTAGTAATGATGAAAGTGGAAGCATAAATAAAGGTCACTCAGAATTTGCAACAAATTTTTAATACTAAGACTTTTTTTTTTTTTTTTTGTATTTCAATATTTGATTAGGCTTTGTTAGCAAGTTTAGAATTTTATTTATGCGAGTAGGTTTTTTTATTAATTTTTTTTTTAGTTTTCTATATGTTGTATAATGAACATTCATATTAAATTGAAATTTGATTGAGTAGAAACTTTGATGTTAATTATGTTTTGTATGTTAAAAAAAAACTGAAATAAAAACATAATTAAGTTCTTAATTAGTTTTTAACTATAAATATTTTGGCTTTTCCTTGTTGGTCTTTAATCTATATATTGTTATTGACCATTTATGACCAAGATCTTGATTTAGCTACCTCAAGAAGGTTAAGATCTACTTTATTATAGTAATTAATATATTGGGTTTGGTTTGCATAATATAAAAATGGCTTAAATTGGTATAAAACAAGTCTCTAATCAATCTTAGATGAAAAAATAATAGTAATTTCCTGCAGTCGTTAATTTGTTATTATACTTGTATTATTGTTGGTTTATTAAGAGGGTTTCGTGGTGGCTTCGTGGAACCGGGGGCCGTGGCGGGGTTGCCGGGGACGGTGGGAGCAAAGACCGGGGCATGTGGTGTGACTTTGCTATCTTGTTTGCATTATATATATTGTGACCTTTAATTGTTGCTCATTACATGAATTTGGACCTTATGTGCATCTTATTGTCACATTCATGTTTTTGTATTATATGATTTTATACTGTGATGCTATTTTTGTCATTCAGACCTGTAATTGATTGTGATGGTATGAATTCTATTTGTGTTTTTATGTATGATTGATTTGGTGTATTTGTTTAGAGATTAGATTAATCTTATGTATTGTTCTGAATTGGTTCTGATGAAGTTTGGTTTATCATTTTTCAGGGATTTTGTGATCCTTTCTTGCTGAACCTTGAGTGAAATCTTCGATATTAGGGAATGCAGAAAGATGTGTGTGCATGCCGGAAATTCAATCTGTGAAGATTCTTCAATCATTTTCCCCTTAAGACATCCATTGTCGGCCCTTGACGAGGTTCAATATGCCGCTTGCAGGTTCATGATATCCCCTCAAATCCATTACAAATCTACAAGCAGTAGAATATTTGCTATGCTAAAGCACGAAACTGTGGACGACGGTTGAATATTGTTTGGTAATTTAGATACCTGTACCATTGAAGTAGCACAATTTTTTTCTAGTATTTTGGGTCAATTTTTTTAAGTAGATATGGAAAAGAAGGGAAGTATTTTGTTAGAGAGGTACGAGTTGGGCAAATTATTAGGGCAAGGGAACTTTGCTAAAGTTTACTACGCTAGGGACATAAAAAACGGGCAGAATGTGGCTATTAAGGTTATTGACAAGGACAAAACTTTGAAGGCCGGGCTGAATGAGCAGATCAAGAGAGAAATTTCGGTCATGAAGTTGGTGAAGCACCAAAATGTCTTACAGCTATACGAGGTCATGGCTACAAAGAGCAAGATTTACATTGTTTTGGAATACGCTAAAGGCGGTGAGCTCTTTAACAAGGTAGCCAGAGGCAGGCTGAAAGAGGACATTGCTAGGTGGATATTCCAACAGCTGATCAGTGCAATGGATGTCTGCCATCGCGGGGGTGTTTATCACCGGGATCTGAAGCTTGAGAACTTGTTGATTGACGAGGATGGGGGTCTGAAGGTTTCAGATTTCGGGTTGAGTGCTCTTGCTGATTCTAGACAGCAAGATGGTTTGCTGCACACGATGTGTGGCACCCCTGCCTATGTAGCTCCAGAGGTGATTAATCGAAGAGGTTATGATGGAGCTAAAGCTGATATTTGGTCTTGTGGAGTTATCTTGTATGTTCTGCTTGCTGGTCATCTCCCCTTCCAAGATACAAACTTGATTGAGATGTACAAGAAGATAACCCGGGCTGATTACAGATGTCCGAATTGGTTCCCACCTGAGGTCCGGAGACTTCTGCTGAAGATTCTAGACCCAAATCCTAACACAAGGATAACCATTAGTAAGATAATGGAGAATTCTTGGTTTAAGAAGGGGTTAGGTACTAGGCCTGCTAAACTACCAAAATTGGAAGTCAAAGAAACCAAGCAGCCGGAGGTCAAGACGTTCTCCGAATTCTCAAGACCATCTAATCTAAATGCTTTTGATATCATCTCCTTGTCATCAGGACTGGATCTGTCTGGTTTATTTGTAGGGGATGACCGCAGGGATGATGTTCGTTTTACATCCCTGCAACCTGCATCTGCTATAGTGTCCAAGCTCGAGGAAGTTGCTGCCAACATGAAACTCAAAGTAACAAAGAAAGACGGAGGATTCTTAAAGCTAGTCGGCTCTAAAGGTAGAAAAGAGGAAGTAGGCATTGACATGGACATATTCGAGGTAACTCCATCCTTTCACGTGGTTGAGATGAAGAGGTCTAACGGTAATGCCATTGATTATCAGAAACTGAAAGATGACATGCAGCCTGCTTTGAAGGACATTGTTTGGGCTTGGCAAGGCGATAGCCAGCAGTAACTTCAAAGACAAGCGATGCGTGCTCACTGCAATCCTCTGCAACCCAGTATTGATGTATCTTAGTAGTTGATTTAGCATTAGTCTTAGTTGATGATCTGTGTTCTGCTTACATATTTGGGCAGTCCTGATGTCTGTTATCTAGTATTGCTAAACAATCGAGGGAGGTTCCAATTTCTATCCTCAATTGTTTAGGTTAGTTTAATGGGAAAATTTACACAATTTTTCTACATTATTGCTTTTAATTCTTAATTATGTGCATGAAATTAAGTAAATCTATTGTGTGGCTGTTGTAACTGATCTAAATATTGTTTGGTCCACAAAAAATCTTATTGTAAATCTTGTTCATATGAATGGTGAATATTGACCAAATTTAATTGATGTAATGGTGGTACCACCAACCAAAATTACAATTTGCTTACATCTAACTGTTGACCTAGAATACCTAGAGAAGATATTAGAGTACAATGAATACAATCTATGGTGTATAAATTTTTAAGATACTGACTGAACAAGTCAATTTAGAGGTTTTGGATTTCTCCATAGATGTCACATAATTCTTTACTTGAAATTTTTTGGGGCTGCTATCACTAGTTTTGTTGATAACCAGTGACATAACTAGTTAAAGAAGCGACAATTTGGTCATTATTATTATTAATTTTATTTTTCGAGAAGACTTTTTAGCCCTGAATTTAATACTCTATAGTATGGATTAACATCAAACCAATTTGAAAAGATGTTCTTTCAACCCTTAAAAAAAAAGTAGATGGAGACGTTTCTTAAATTTCACACTTCAAATTCTTTTATTTATGAAATTTAAAATACAAAGTATCACAAGAAATCATGATTATCGAGAAGAAAAATACCTATGATTGAAATAAGTTTTGATCAGTAACAATCAGTTTCGACTTGTAGAAAGATATACGGAGTACTCACTATTCACTACTCTTTACTATTCTAGCAAAGTTGGCAGCTAAATTCATACACTCCTCTACCAAAAGTTACCTAAGTGAGTTTCATATTTGCAACTTGGTTAAAAAAAACAGCTAGAAACTTACTGTTGTAAAGTATGCAATTGGTTATACAGTACATAATCTTACAAGTTACAATTCTACGTTTTTTAGGTTGGCGTCTTTTTTGTCCAAACGTTTTATTCGTGGTTACTTCTTCCAATAAGTAGTGCTAGAAAAGATGAACACGAAAGAGAACTTATTAATGGTTTTTACCTATGTCATCAATATACTCTTGTAAGCACTCAATAAAATCAATATGAGCTTGTAATTTGTCGTTTTCTAAAATGACAACAATTTTATGACAAAAATACCCTCTTTACAAGTATTAAATAATGTGATATAGATAGATTTTCTTAAACTTTGAATTTTTGGCATTTTAAAAGTAGCGCCCTGGATAACATTTATCAAATTTTGATTACTTTCTAAGAGATATGTATTGAAAAGAAAATAATTTGGAACAGGTTTTAGGGAAAAAAAAATGGAGTAATATTGATCATCAACCCACAAATTTTCAAAACTAAAAATTATTAGGTGTTATACTAATTGTAGTCATATATCGATTGTATTGTTTATCATATATTTGTTTTCCAATAACATAAAATCAGTTAACCAAGCACACTTGGTGGAATTGGGGTGGGGAGCTCACTTGTAACCTTCACAAGTTCAAGCCCCATTATCTACATGTGCGTAATTTTTATTAACATAACCCTAATAGTAAATATATAAATTAATGATGGGTTTCAATTTATCAGCTTAAAATTATTTAAAAAAAAATTAAAACTTTTGGTTGAAGTTTTCCTTTAATACTTAATCATCAAATTTGAAAAGTATTAATGATACTTTCATGTCAAGTATTGATAATTGTGTAATTCTCTTTATATATACAAATCTCACATGAAAAAAAATGGTTGAATATCAAATGGACTATACTAAATGGCAAGATTATGGACGAAAAGATGCTTTAATTTCAATAATATAAGAAAGGACAAAGTTACAATATAATTGGCCCTTATCTAGAGCTGTCTGGCGGCCCAGGCTGCCACTATGCAATAATTAGTGATAATTTTGTTGGACACCCAATTTATTTATACAACGTTGCTCATAAATTATATTTTTCAGAGATTGGGCCCATAATGGGCCAGATTATATAGCGGCCCATGTGATAAGATGTATCGTTTGTAATCGTGCAAATTATTTGGCAACCTTTACAGAATTACAGGCTTACACCTATCATTGGGCCATTGTAATAATGTGCTATGTACCTGCAACATCAAATATGAGAATATAAACATAAAATCTCTTTTGTTTTTCATTTTCTTCTTTTGGCAAATCTTTATGTTATCAACAAGGTGGTTGCAATATTGTTATATTATTACTTTATATGGTTGTATACCACTAAGAGCACACTTTCATAAACTTCTTTACGTTTGGAAAATTTCTATCATAAATATGAATAGAACAATAAATACATTACTTATTTTTATTGGTTAGTCCAATATATATGTCCATAATTAATAGACCAAATATTCATTTGAGATGGCAATAGAATTCTAACCAAGGCATCTAAACAACATCAAAACATTAATAGGAAAAGCTATAACTTTTTATAAGGGAGTCTAAGGACCTGTTATTTTCAGCTTAATTTCAATTCAGTTTAGTTTCAAATTTTCTTCTCTCATAAACAATTTAGTTCAGTTTACTTCAGTAAATCAAAATAGGCCCTAATTGGCAAGGGAGTCATAACATTAGTATTGAAGGTGATGATTAAGCTATTAGTCATTAACTCGATAAAAAACATCGAAGGCATATGTCCTCTCCTCATTGGGTTTCACACCTATGAGGTTTTTGAGAAATAGGTGATTTGAGTAAATGAGCACAAACCTTTTTTAGTCGTCTTATAATCTTATTATTTCCATGTCTCGAAATAGATAATCTGAATATAGATTAATAAATTGGATACATACAATCAAAGTAATCCTTATAATATTAATTTTTTTAAAACACTAAGTATATTTCTCAAACGATAAAAAGGCATATGGTATATTTTTTTTCTCCTTCCACTCACAATATCGACATATTGTCGGCCACACAAAATATAAGTTTCTATTTATGGTCGGCTAACTGCTATGCACAATGAATAAATTAAACACAAATAAATCTTCAGAAAATGATACAAGGAAATTATAAAGAGGCATCCATAATCTTCAGAAAATGAATTATAGTACTTAATTGACCTATAATCACTAAAGATTAATGGGAAATCTTTAACCTAAAGTTATTGAATCTAAGATAATCTGATAAGCATAAGCTAGCTGTCTTCGATTAATTACGATTGTTTTACAGTGCATAATCAATTAACATTTAACATGTTTTTGGCTAATTAATTTAGTTTAGTACGGATTAAATAGTAACCTAAAAAGTAGATTGAATTTTGGTGGTACCAAATAATCACCATCATTAGAGGAATAGAACTTGTGCTGCTTACATTAGTTACATATATGTGCGAACTAAACAATGTCCTATGTCTCTGTCTCCCTTTAGTCTCATGTATTAGTTATTTGACCAAAAAATTGGTCAAAATTAACCAATTTTATTTTTAATTTCTTTTATTTATATATTTTATTTTTTTTTGCCATTTTCTTTTTGACTAGTTATCTGCAAATATAATCCAAAAACTTAATTAAATAAAGAATTAAAATAATCGCCGACAACTATCAAAGGAAGAGAAAGGATAAGGGTTTGATCACACAACAAGTTTAAAGGAGCTTTCAGCCCATAAACAATTGATTATACGTAGGAACTAGGAACGTTTTGAATCTTATGATCAGGTCATTCTTTTTTGACATCTCCCGTGTGGAACAAATTACAAATTAATTGCAAGAAGAGTGCATAACATATACTACGTATTACGTACATGACGTACGTACTATATAACAACTAACAATTGCTAAATGGAGTTTTTAGTGAACTTATCTTATTTTTGTAGTTAGCATATTTACCCATCAATAATCTTTAAAGAGATTTTTTAACATACAATAATACTAATAAATAGATCAATATTACACCGATAATCAATACATGGTTTTGTATTGTCATGCATTCGTAAACTAATAAAATATCAATCTAGAAAAGCTTATAAATGCTTATTTATATCAATCTCCAATAAGGGTTATATATATCATTATCTATAAAAGTTATTTTAATAAAAATTCAGAATCTTATCTAAAATTGAGGAGGATCATAAAATTTCCCTTTATTCTAATTCTGGCTTATAAACAAGCAATCGTTAGACAAACTGAAATTTAGAGCTCCATGAATTAAAATCAAAATGATAAAAAGAATAATTTTACATTAAATTTAGAAAACAAGTAATTTATAGTAATATAATCTTTCATTGATGATTGAATATCTCTGTTAATTAGAACTAAGAAGGCATCTTTCATTGTTTTAAATGTGATTATATAAGTTACAATATACGAAATATATGTATAATGCATGACAGTATTAAATTGGATCTTATCTTCAAATCGATCAGATAGACACTTATACAGCTAATTAAACTAGAAATATAGAAATTGATGTGGGCTAAAATAATAGTCAAAGTTCGCACCAAAAAAAAAATAAAAAAAAATAAAAAAATAATAGTCAAAGTTGTTCTTTTTGTATCATTATTTTGTAGGGGAATAATCGTGAAAAGTCTACATTATTTGGAAGGAAGATATTTCAACATCTACATTATAAAGGATTTATGAAACTTTAGTGTTTTGGTACGTTGGCATGAGTTACAAGTGGAGTTTGGTGTGATTGTGATGTTAGCGTGTTTTAGCTACACTTTAACATCAAAATATGAAATTAAGCTTCAATTAATCCGGATTACATTATATGTTCCAAATTTAAACACTATATATATTTACTCGCATATATATAAAGGGGTAAATTTTATATGACTTTAGTGACTAAGAATACACTCTTTATAAAACGAGTGATATAATGACGAGTTTTCTTAAATTGATAGAATATACGATAGATATTCTGTCATAGAAGGATATATTATATGAATTTTGTATAATTATCTTTTGAGATTTCCTAAGTTGATTTTTAGGACTCACCTTTATAACCCTATATATATGAATCAATGAAATACACTCCAATTGAATTTCACAAAATATATCCTAATACTAGACATAATTAGACACATTTTATCTGATTTGAAATACCATCGTTACGTTATACACTTTGGTCTAAAATAAGACATATTTAGATAAAGACGATACGAGAAATAGAATATAGAAAAGTTTTTCTTTTATTTTGGGTGGGAATTATGGATTGAATAAAAGTAGAAGAAGCATAGCAAAAAGGATAAAAAGC